GAGGAGGGAGGAGGGGGGCGGCGTTTTGACCTCGCCATCCGCTGGCCTGCCCCTGTCGGCCGCCGCCTCCTCCTGAGATAGAAAAAAATGAACAAAAAGATAGAACAACAAAAGGCCTAAAACAAAATACAAAAAAAAAAATAAAATAAAAAAAAAAAAGAAGACAACAAAAAAAAAGATAAAGAAATAGAAAACGAAAAAAAAAAAATAAAAGGGGGCCACGCCCCTCTCGCTTCTCCCCCCGTGCTGGCCGCCCCCCTCCTCCCTCTCCCCTTCTGCTCTTCTCCTCTTCCTCCCCTCCCCCCCCTCCTCCTCAACCTCCTCACCTCCTCCTCCTTCTCCTCCCGCCCTCCTCCGACCCCTCCTCCTCCTCCTCCTCCTCCTCCTCCTCCTCCTCCTCCTCCTCCTCCTCCTCCTCCTCCTACTCCGCCGACAGAGGAGCAACAAAGACTGGAGAAACGTAAAGCTACGGCGCCCCGCGCGGATTTCTTGCAGCGGCGCTGCGCCCCCCCCTGGCAGAGCGAGGCCTGCGCGCGGGGACCACGCCCCGGAAGCGAGCACGACAGCGACAGCGACGACGGACGACGACACCATCCACGGGCAGGCCCAGGGAGCAGGCCCAGGGATGGTCCGGTGGATGCACGCCGGTGGGTGCACAGAGCACCCTCGCTGCAGCCAGGCTTGGCACGAAGCTCCGCCCCTTCCTCATCCTCGCGGGGCACGCCGAGGACGTTCGCTGCCAGAGGAGGATGGAGGGGGGGGTGAGAAAGCAGGGAGGAGGAGGAGGAGGAGGAGGAGGAGGAGGAGGAGGAGGAGGAGAAGAAGGAGGAGAGGAGGAGGAGGAGGAGGAGGAGGAGGAGGAGGAGGAGGAGAGGAGGAGGCAGGAGGCAGGACCTCACCTGGCCGCTGCCATGCGTCCGCACCGTAGGGGGTGCGGGGGAAAAGACGGATGGAGGGAGAGAACTGGAGGGAAAGAGCATGAGGAGGAAGGGGAGAAGGACAATGACGAAGAAGAGGGAGGGTATATCTGGAGCGGGCAAGCGGGGTCCTGGTGAAAACAGTGCTCCCCCGTGGCGTCATCCTGCTCGTCCCGTATGTGGTGCTCATCCCCCTCCCCCCTCCTCGTGCGCCTCTTCCCCCCTCCTGCGCTCCGACGAGCTGGTCCCGCACTTCTTCTTTCCCCCCCTCCTCCTCCTTCCATCCTCTTCCTCCTGCTCCTCCTGCTCCTCCTCCTCCTCCTCCTCCTTCTGGTCCTTTTCCCCCCCCTGCTGCTCTTTCTGCTCCAGTTGTGGTCTTGCGCATCAGCGAGCCCTCTTCGCCGCGCCGCCGGGTATCTGCCACAGAGGCGGGCCGAGCGCCCGTCGCAGCACGCGGTCTGCAAGCGCACAGCGCTCGGCGCCATGCCGGAGCGGGGGGAGCTTGGATCTCCAAGCCGTTCCTCGGGACGCTGGGTCAAAAGCAGAACGATCGTGACACCCCAGGCCCCCGACGTTGTGACTTTTTCGCAGCCCAGACCACCTCGCAAGATGAACAAAACCACGACGGGAAGCTTCTCTTTCTTTTTGGCCTCCGGGGGCCCTTCCAGCGCCTCGGGGCCGTCAGAAACGACTCAGGATGAAAAGCCAGCCCCAGGGAAAGGGCCCAGACCTCCGGGGGCCGACGCAACGAAAAAAACACGACGCCGGGGGTCTGGGAACGTCGACCCCCAGAGGTCAAAAACAGAAAGATCTGTCCGCCTCCTCCTCCTCCTCCTCCTCCTCCTCCTCCTCCTCCCATCCTCCTCCTCCTCCTCCTCCTCCCTCTCCTCCCCCTCCTCCTCCCCCTCCTCCTCCTCCTCCTCCTCCTCCTCCTCCTCCAGCCCCAAAAGCCTGTGGCCGGGCGGCGCGCCATTGTGCCACTCGAGCCCTCCGCGCGCCCCGCGCCCACGGCGGGCTCGCGCAACCCGGACCCCCGACGGCGTGATTTTGTCACAGCGTCGACCCCCCCAGACCTCCTGGCGTCGTGAAAAAATCACGACGGGAGGTTTTTCACTATTTTCGCCCTCGAGGAGGTCCTCCCCGGGCCTCGGGAGCGTCAAGAAACGACTCGGGATGAAAAACCGGTCCCGGGGAAGAAGTCCAGACCTCTGGGGGTCGACGTCGTGAAAAAAACACGACGTCGGGTGTCTGGGCCAAGAGGTCTGGACCCTTTCCCTGGGACCGGTTCTTCATCCTGAGTCGTTTTCTGATGGTCCCGAGGTCCGGTAAGGACCTCCAGAGGGCGAAAACATCAAGAAAAACCTCCCGTCGGGATGTTTCCACGGCGCGAGGAGGTCTGGGAAGGGGGCGCTCCCCCGAGATCCGACGCTCCAACAAAGTTGGAGCAGACGGATTTTGGCCGCCTTCGGCCTCCGGGGGGGGGGGGCCCTGGCCGGGCCTCCGGGAGCGTCAACAAGACGTGGTCGGGACCTCCGGGGCCCACGCATCGGAAAAATCGGAGCAGCGGCATGTCTGGGAAGGGGAGCGCGCGCGCGAAAGGTACCCTCGAGGTCTTCTTGCGCCACAGTCGGCCGACCACAAGCTGTTTTCTTTTTGTTTGCCTCCACCCCAACATGATCCAAACGCAGTAGAAACATGTTAGCGCCTCGGCCTGTTCAGCGACACGGGTGGCACTACACAAGCTGTGTGTGTGTGTCAGAGATCATCCGCGTGCCAGCACTCCAAGGGCTCCTGGGAGACGCAATTCATGCATCCGCTGGCGTGGTCTGCGCGCCAGTCCCTACCCATGCAGAATCAACAGCACTGTCGTCTGTCATGAACGCCAGCGAGATGAGCAGGCTTTATCCCCCCTCGAGAAAGAAGGGAGACAGGAGGAAAATGGGAGCTGGACAACGGCGTTGCGAGTGCAGCGCCTACGGTCTGGCTTGCCATCGACACAAAACCCACAACGGAAGCCAGGAGGAGAAAGACAGAGGGAGGCGAAGGGGAGCGAGAGAGGGAAGAGATAATCAAACGAGCATCCACAGGAAGATATCACCTCGCGGGCGCGAAGAACACACACACACACACACCCCGAGCAGTGACGGAGGCGGCACCAGCAGGGAAGCCCCACGGAAGCCAAGAGCTGACACTTCAGGCTCGGGCCGCCCGTCAGAAAAGAGGGCCACGCACGACATAACATTGCGGAGAGAGGCTGTGCCACAGCGCGTGCGATGTGCGCTAGGCTTCCTGTAGTTAATGTCCCCTCCTTCCTCCTCCGCCTCGGTCTCCTCCCTCCTCTTCGCTGCTGCCTCCTACACATTCCCCTTTCCTGCCCGTTCCACACACACACACACACTCCTCCTCCTCCTTATCCTCATCCTCTTCCTCCTCCTCCTCCTGCTCCTCCATCTCCTCCTCCTCATCCTCTTCCTTCTCTTCCGATCCCCTCCGTATCTTGCTCCTCCCTCCCCATCTCCCCCTCCTGTTCCTCCCTCCTCCCGGTCACCATTCCACCTGCTGCTCCTCATAAAGTCTATATATATATCACCACCATCACCATCACCATCGTCATCATCAGCATCACCACCACCAACATCACCACCACCATCATCATCACCATCACCATCGTCATCATCACCATCATCGTCATCATCACCATCATCGTCATCATCATTATCAACATATGCATCTGCATCGTCATATGTATATCCATCTTCATTTTCATCATCGTCATCATCACCATCATAATCGACATCACCATCATTATCGCCATCACCATCATCATCACCATCAACAGCATGAACATCGACGCCAACATCATCACCGTCATCATCATCACCACCATGATCATCATCAAATTCATCACCATCACCATCATCCTCATCCCCATTATCATCACCATCACTGTCACCACCATCGTCACCAATACCATGATCATCGTCATCGCAATTATCACCGTCATCACCGTCATCACCACCATCATCATCATCGTCGTCGTCCTCAGCACCGTCATCATCATCACCACCATCAGCATCATCAGGATCATCGTCAACGCCAATATCATCACAACCATCACCACAATCATCATCAGACTTATCATCGTGATCATCACCAGCATCACCACCGCAATCATCACTCAACATCATCAACTACAAAATCATCATCATCATCATCATCCTCATCTTCAGCACCACCACTATCATCACCATCAGGATCATCTTCATCACCACCACCGTCAGTATCATCGCCATCACCATTAGTATCATCATCGAAATCATCATCATCACCATCACCATAACCATCATCATCAACATCAACCTCAACATCATCACCATCATCACAGCCATGATGAGCATCATAACCATTACCATGGTGATGATGATGATCATCATCATCATCATAATCATCACCATCATCGCCATCATCATTATCAACCTCATCCGCATCCTCATCACTATCCTCATCACCACCACCATCTTACCATCATAACCCTGATCTTCATCATCAGTATCAGCATCATCCGCATCATCACCAACATCAACATCAACATCAACATCAACAGCACCATCATCACAATCACAATCATCCTCATCACCATTATTGACATCGACGCAAGCATGATCACCATTATCACCATCACAACCGTCATCATAACCATCACCCGCCATCATCATTGCTACCAACGCCATTGCCATCAACATCATCATCACACCATCATAATCAACATCATCATCAACATCATCATCATCATCATCATCATCATCATCAACGTCATCATCGTCGCCATCATCACCAACATTACCACCATCATCATCACTGCCCTTACCCCCATGCTCATCAACATCACGATCACCATCATCATCTTCATGATTACCCTCATCACAGTCATCACCTTCATCACCAATATCATCACCACCATCATCACAATCATCATCATCGCCATCATCTCCATTATTATCATCATGATCATCATCGTCATCATCACCACCACTGGACTCAGCGTCAACGCCAATATCATCACCACCATGATCACAATCATCATCATACTCGTCGTCGTGATCACCGTCAGCGTCACCATCAACATCATGATTTTTTGAACGTCATCAACAACATCCTCACCAGCATCCTTCTCCTCACCCTCACCACCGTCCCCATCACCATCATCACCATCATCACCATCATCACCGTCATCATCATCATCATCATTCACAGCATCATCATCATCATCATCATCATCATCATCATCATTGTCACTATCGTCATCATCATCACCATCATCATAATCATCATCATCATCACCACCAGCATCACTCCCACCATCATCACTGTCAGCATCATCAACAACATCATCCTAATCATACTCATATTCATCCTCATCGCCACTACCATCACCATCACCATCATCATCATCATCATCAGCATCATCACCAACATCAGCATCAACATCAATCACAACATCATCACAATCACCATCATCCTCATCACCATTATTGACATCGACGCAAGCATCATCACCATTATCCCCATCACAACTGTCATCCTAACCAACACCCGCCATCATCATCATCATTATCAACACCATTGCCATCAACATCATCAACATCATCAGCATCAACATCATCATCAACATCATCATCATCATCAACGTCATCATCGTCGTCAGCAGCACCAACATCACCACCACCATCGTCACTGCCCTTACCCCCATGCTCATCAACATCACAATCACCATCATCATCTCATGATTGCCGTCATTACAGCCATCACCTTCATCACCATTATCATCACCACCATCATCACCATCACCATCACCATCGTCTCCATTATCAGCATCATCAGCATCGTCACCATCACCACCACTGGACTCAGCGTCAACGCCAATATCATCACCACCATGATCACAATCATCATCATACTCATTATCGTGATTACCGCCAGCGTCACCATCAACATCATGATTTCCAACATCATCAACAACGTCCTCACCATCATCCTTATCCTCACCCTCACCACCATCCCCATCACCGTCATCAACATCATCACCGTCATCATCATCATCATCATACATCATCATCATCATTCACAGCATCATCATCATTAGCAAAATCATCATCATCATCAACATAATCATCGTCGTCATCACCACTGGCATCACCACCACCATCATCACTGTCAGCATCATCAACAATCTCATCATCCTCATCATACTCATATTCATCCGCATCGCCACCACCATCATCATCACCATCATCATCATCTTGATCATCGTCGCCAGCATCATCATCACCACCGTCATCATCATCACCATCAGCATCACCATCATCACCAACGTCATCATCAACATCATCTCACCATGGCAATGACCATATTCATCATCAGGATCATACAACATCAGCATCGACGCCAACAATATCACCACCAGCACCACCATGATCATCATACTCATCACCATCACCATCATCTTCGTCATCATCATAATCATCTACATTATCACCATCATCATCGTCACCATCATCATCCTCATCCCCATCACTATCACCAACATCACCGTCATCACCGTCATAGTCATCAGCATCATCATCAGCATCATCATCACCATAAGCATCACCATCACCAGCATTATCACCAACATCAACATCAACGCCGCAGCATCACCATCATCGGCACCATGGTCATCATCATAACCATCACCGGCATCAATCGCTGCCATCATCATCATCATCACCACCATCATCACCATCACCATCGACATCATCACGATCATCATGATCATCCTGATCACCATCACGATCACTATCACCATCATCATCATCATGGACATCAGCATCATCATCGTCGTCATCACCGCCAGCATCACCACCACCATCATCACTGTCAGCATCATCGACAATATCATCACTCATCATACTCATCCTCATCCTCATCACCACCACCATCATCATCATCATCATCACCATTATCATCATCGTAATCATCACCATCATCGTCGCCAGCATCATCACCACCACCGTCATCACCATCACCATCACCATCATCACCATCATCGTTATCATCAACATCATATCACCATGACAATGCTCATACGGACCACCATCTTAAACATCAACATCGACGTCAACATCATCACCACCAGCACCATCACGATCATCATAATCATCACCATCACCACACAATCGTCATCAACATCATGATCATCTACATCATCACCAACGTCATCATCATCTTCACCCCCATCCTCATCACCATCCCCATCATCACCATCATCACCGTAATCATCATCATCATCATCATCACCATCAGTTTCATCATCATCATCAGGTTCATCATAACCATCACTATCACCATCATCATCACCAAGACCATAATCAACGCCAAAAACATGACCATCATCACCACCATGGTCATCATCATAACCGTCGCTAGCATCAATCGTCGTCTTCACCATCATCACCATCATCACCACTACCATCATCACCATCACCATCACCATCGCCATCATCATGATCAGCATGATCATCATGATCATGATCATGATCATCCCAAGCTCCCGTCTCTTTCTCAGCCAGACAACCACGAGGTCTAAGAAGTCGAGCCTCCGCGAGCACCAGAACGATTGAAGCGGCCCTCCATGAGGCCGCGACCGAATCACGTCAAGCACCTGCTGCGTGAAACCAGACACAAGCTGAAAACTTCAAATCAGGGGTGGAGGTCGGGGGAAGTGAGGTGAAGCTTGAGCCACCGCAGTTGCGGCGAACACATGTTGAAACACGATTGCTTGATCGACTACTGTTTAAACACTGTTCGGGGTCGACTGGGGGTCGAGCGGCTGACATCCGACGAGGCGCACAGGATTCACGTACAAGTACAAACCATCCCAAGCTCCCGTCTCTTTCTCAGCCAGACAACCACGAGGTCTAAGAAGTCGAGCCTCCGCGAGCACCAGAACGATTGAAGCGGCCCTCCATGAGGCCGCGACCGAATCACGTTAAGCACCTGCAAAAACTGTTAACTCCAAAACAGCAGACTGGCCAAAGCCGCATAACCTTTTACTGCATAAAGCGCCCAAAGGACTCCCCGAGACATTTGGCCCAAGTATTGTAATAAGCGTCCGCGATAGCTTTACGCAACTTCTTAGGGTAGGGTTCAGCAAGCTTGGTGTAGAAATTGCCGGTCTGATCTTTGCCTTGGAGCTGCTGATGGGGAAGACCGGTACGCTTGCAAATGCCTCTCTTACTCCCAACACATCTGGCCGCCTCAAGCTCGGCCAGGTCAAGATCGTAGCACAAGAAGGTGGTACTCTTCTTCCAGGGCACCCCCCATGGACAAAAATCGGTGGCGACAACAGCGATGCCCTGAGCACGGGCGAGACGTCGCATAGCAGGGCAAATCCAAAGGCGGCTTCTGGCGGGGTTCTCCAGTGAGCACGGTGCCTGAACTTGCCTGCATTCACGGATAAGGGAAGCGGAAAACAGCATCAGCATGTTCCCAATCGCCACCTTCTCCTGATCGGCCTGGGACAGCCCCCCAAGGCCCATAGGTTCCGAATCGCTTCGGAGCCTGGGGGGACCTGGGGGGATGTCTCGGGCCCGGCTGAAGGACGAGCAAGGCGTGGCCGCATGGGCGCCGGCCACCAGCCCGGCCCTCGCCCACCCGAGGAGAAGGAAACAATTACGCTTGCACCTAAAGTCGTACGACTCGCCGAGGCTTATGTCCCACAGCAGGGCGGTGACACCTACCCTCGAGATCGCTTCCGAGAGGTGGCCGCTGCCCGAGAAGACTTCGACGAAGACACGCTGCCGGAGGCGAATGGTGCAGGACAACGCCGGCCAGACACCACCTCGCTCAGCAGCTCGACGCAGAGTTTGCCGTGGGCCTGGAGCACCGGCCCGAGCTTGTGAACGACTTGACCCAACCTGCTCCCCTTCTCGTAGCGCCGGACCGAGGACCACGAACGCCAGCGCCCGCGACGGCGCACGTCCTCCAAGCGGCGGCAGCCCGAGGCGTAGTCGTGCGAGGCGCCGCCGTGCCGCAGCATGTACATGTGGGCGGCGCCCGGCGCGGTGTCCACCCCCAGCGTTTCGACGGCCCCCTTGAAGTCCCTCGTCACCTCGTCGAGCGTCACGGTGAACAGCGGCGCCGCCAGGTGCAGACCGGAGCCGACGTGCCTCTGCTCTGCGCGCCGCCAGTCCGCGCCCAGCTGGCGCGTCAGCATCAGGTCGAGCGCGGGCCCGATGAAGGACTGCCGGCCGAGATCCAGAAACAGGCTCTCGTCGAACTCGCCGGTCTTGGACTCCCTCTCGGTCTCGGCAGCATGGAGAGTCGTCGCGCACCAGTGGGACGCTCCGCTGACCCTCGCCACGGGCGGGGCGAGGTCCACCGCCCTGATGTGGAACGCCTCTCCGGGCCTCAGGTACAGCCCGAAGATGAGAAGGACGGCGAGCGCACTCTGGTAGCGCCGTCGGCCCAGGAGCTCCATCACCACCATCGCCACTACCATGTAGGGCATCGGCAATCGAGATCGCGGCGGTGCGAGCTTGCGAAAGCCCTGGAGGGCGCGGCGCGACCGAGGCATCAGCGCGCCCGACGCCTTGTTCAGGCCGGTGAAGAAAGTCACCGCCGCATACGCCCAGGACCCTGCACTCAGGTCCTCGCCGCCCAGGTAGAGGTCGTCCAGCCACTCCGCGATCGCCTGGTCCACAAGGTCCTCGGTCGTCAGCCGACGGCCGTTCGCCCACGCCAGGAAGTCGGCGAAGATCTCCTGGCAGCGGTCCCGCGTCCTCGGCTTGATGGGCGCCGCCTCCAGCACCGTCATACCCGGCAGCCGCACTGCTGTGGACCGCCGAGCCGCAGCCCGCGCGGCTCGCTGGCTCACCTTGCGGCGCATGGGCCCGACCGAGCCCGGGGGGGCTGCTGAGGCGGCCGGCCGCCGCCGCACGAGACGCTGCTGCCGCACTGCCGGCACTCGGAGACATGCTGACGACGTAGACCGGCTCGAGGTCGGCGCCGACGCCGTGCGCGGCGGCCCGCCCAGCGCCAGCGGAGCGGCCACATCCGCCTGGGGTCCGCGAGCCAGCAGTCCCGTCGGCAGCACCTGCACCAGCGCCCCCGCGCTGGCGGGCACTGGGGCCGCTCGCGCGAGCATCGCGCGGGGCGAGCGCCGAGGGCGCTGCGGGTCGCCAACGTCCCCTTGAGGGACCGTCGGCTGCGTTCCACTCCGAGGGGAGCCAGCGGTAGTGGAGAGAGGAGCCTGTCGCCAGGGAGAGGGCGGCGATGCTCTGCGTCACGTACAGCATCGCACGGCTCCCACTGCGGCTCTTAGACACAGCTCCCGCCACACTCATCGAATCTCCCAAAACAACGAGACGTTTACCATGATTCCGACGACTACGCAGAAGATGCCTGTAGCCGTACAGGGTAGCGCGGGCCTCCAGGACCGGGATGCTCTCGCCCTTCTTCCGCCACTCGAAACGGCCCACCACCCTCCAATCCTGCTCAATCATTCCCCTGGGAACTTCAGGAAAATCATCGGCTCCGGGTAGACGCCCAAACCCGTAAATGTCCCCGGGGGCCCCAGCATCAAGATCACAACGAGCAGGTTCCTGGGTGTCGTCGGGGCCGCACATCCAAGGGGCGGCCTCCTCGGCGGACCCTTCAAGGGCCGCCGCCGCGGCAGCATCCCGAGCCCAGCGCCCAGCGTGGCGACGAGGACCCCCAAGAGCGCCACCACGACCCCAGCGCCACCTCTCGGATGTGCGGCCGACCTGGGAACAGAGCGAGGATCCGCAGCGGCTCGAGCAGGCCCCGAGGCCCCACTCGCTGGCATCCACTGCGACAACCTCGCCCCCCCAAGCGGCCCGAAGATCGCGATAAAGGAGTGGAGAGATAGAGTCCCAGATACTGAGCTCACGCCGAACAGAGGCCCACAAGGCAACGTCGCTGTCGTAATGCTTGTGAATAAATCCATAACAACTCCAGAACAAACTGAGGCCCTCCCGCCTAACCAAGGAGATAAAAACCAGGTGCCCGAGAAGCTTTTCAACATCTCGACCTTTGGCCCGACCACGAGCGAGAAGAGCACGAATCGCAAGCCGAGCGCGTCACAGACGTTCCGGGGAGGCAACGAGTCGCCCACTCCCACGATCAATGACCCAACCCAGCAACTTGGCAGTAGTACCCTCCTCCCCACCATGATCCTCCTCATGAACGACGAGTCCCCGACTTTCCAGAGCGGTGATGGCAGACGACACCGACTTTCTCACGTTGTCCCGGTTGGTCGAGATTGCAATGTAGTTGTCCACATACTGCGTGTGGCACGGCTGGCTGAGGTCTGGGGGGCACGTCTTGTCGGTGATCCTAAACTTGGGGTCCGAGCCAGCTGCCTCCACAATCCTCTCGTGTATCTTCTGGCACATCCATAAAGCCCAAGACCATCCCATGGGAATGACAGCGAGCCTAGGGTAAACCTTCTCGTGTGCAGCCACAGCTCGACCCCCAATCTCCGTGCACCCTACAGACGCGGCCCGCACGGGCCGAAAAGTAAAATACTTCCTAAGGGGTTTGGGGGGCCCCATGTGGTAAAACGCATCACTCAAATCCGCACCACCAACGAAGATATCCTCGTCGGCTCCCAGCTCGATGGCGGAAAGAAACCTTCTCGTGTGCAGCCACAGCTCGACCCCCAATCTCCGTGCACCCTACAGACGCGGCCCGCACGGGCCGAAAAGTAAAATACTTCCTAAGGGGTTTGGGGGGCCCCATGTGGTAAAACGCATCACTCAAATCCGCACCACCAACGAAGATATCCTCGTCGGCTCCCAGCTCGATGGCGGAAAGCCCTTCACCAGTGCAGAGCGAGACCCCACCGGCCTCAGTGAAATGACAGTTTGAACGCCTGCAGTCTACGACAAGCCTGAGCTTGCCATTCTTTTTGGTCACAAAAAACGGCTCCACTCGCTCACCATCCTCGAGCGAGAAATCAAGCATTCCGCGCGCGGCCAACGCCGACATGAATTCCTCAAAGGCTCGAGGGTGTCTAAGCTTGGGATCGGAGTAGGGAGTGACCACACCTGACGAGCGGAGACGGGCTCGCGACTGTTCCGGCGGAACGACATTCAAGCGGCAGAAGTCCTCTACCATTTGGCACCCGCCTTCGCCCCAAAGTTCAGACACAGGCACAGGCCTGACGTCGCCTGAAGGCAGCGAGACGTCGGCGAGAGAGTAGCGACCGAGCGTAGTACTGTCCACGTCGTACCAGCTCGCCACGCGAAGCTTCCTGAGAGCTTCAGCGGGGGAGGCCCCCACAGGTGGAGGGCCAAGGTCGCGCACGGCGCGTCGGACACGATCCAGCACGCCGGCCTGGCCGGCAGAAAAAAGATGATATGATCCGCACTCGGCGCCCCGCTCGGGCCCCTTGCCCGGGGAGGCGCGGTCGCGGGGCTGCGGCTGATGAGTGTAAAGCGAGTTAAGGCCCCAGAGCGCACGGTCAACTTCGCGCTCCTCGGCCTGGCGCCTACACAACCTCTGCCGCGTGCCACGAGACATCTCATTAGCCCGCGCGCGGTCGACCCTGAAAACGTCAGGACGAGGAAGAGGGAACAATTCACGCGGCACTTGACGGCTCGGGCCACGCATCCAGTCTTTCCAGGAAGAGAGAGGGGGAGGCGCCGAAGGCAAGGAGGGGGGGACTAATTGACAAGCTTCGCTCGTGTGCCCTGGGGCCTGGCTCACAGGATCACTCGAAGGTCGGGATAGCTCTGGCACGCCTGCATCAGGCGGGCCGCGCGGAGCTGACGGTCCCGTCATGCCCGCAGCCCGCGCAACCGGATGTGGCCTCGACACAAGGCGCTCACCCGGCATCCTTCTTGGTCTGATCCTTGGCCCGGGCAGCTTCTCGCTCCTCTCGGGCCTTGCGCAAGTTCTTGGCAAGCGAGGCCTCGCGCTCGACCTCGCCCCGCACGTAATCCAGCAGAAGAGGGCAGATCATCAGGGAGCCACCTGCGCGGGCTGTGCCCGCAAAGGCCATCTGCTCCTCGAGACTGAGCTTCCCTCCGTAGCCCTTGGCCTCCTGCTCACGAGCCCGCTCGGAGTGCGCGAACTCGATCGTTTGAAGTCGGCGAAACATGGACTCCACCATCATCAGGTTGGTGCCGTCCAGCTGGTCGTGAAGGAGGCCGAACTTCAGGGCCTGTGTGACATTGTAATGCTCGGACACACCCCAACTCGAGAACTCCAACTTACATTGAACACGAAACCTCTCGTGATGCCCGTCGAGTCCGAGCCCCTCATGGTTGATGAACTCCAGGCACCACAGCACGGACCTTGGCCCGGGCAAGTCCCAGTCGTTGCTGAACTCCTCCTGCACCACGGCCGCGACCATCTCCGCCCAGGTACGCTCTCGCCGCCCCTGCCTGTTGCGACGGACCGCCATGATGCGGGCGTCGCCGAACACACCTTTGTCGAAGAAGGCGACCTCCGTCGCAGCGGTCACCTCCTCCACGAACAGGGCGGTCCCGTCCGGCAAGAGGTGGAAATCCTTCGAGCCGATCGCCTGGGCGCTCCGCACGTGGCCTGGGACAGGGTCTCCGAATCGGAAGCCGCCCCCGCTCTCGGCAGCCCTCCATGACGCCCCGACGCCTGCGGCAGGCGCTGCCGGCGCGACGCCCTGCAAGGGCCCCACCAGCACGGGCGGGGGCGCGGCCGCCGCTGCGGGGGCACCTGCGGCGCCGGCTGCGGCAGGCTGGGCCACTCCCGGCACAGGAGGTGCGCCTGGAGGGCCGGCGCCTGCAGGCACGATGGCCCCTGCTCCGCCGGCACCGACCACAAGCTGGCCCGCGGCGTCAATCGGCAGCAGCCACACGAAGCCTGCCGCCGGCGCCGCGCCGCCCGCCGCTGCCAGCAGGCGCCTACCCTCGGCCTCAGCCTCGTCCTCGGCCGCCTGCCGGAAGGCGGCGTCCCGCGCGGCCGTCGGCTCCCGTCGAAATCGGTACACCCGATCCCTGGGCACACCGGCCGGCAGCTCTCGAAACTCGCTGCACCAGCGCACCGCCAGCACGTCCTCTGAGGTCGGCGACCAGTCCTCCGGGTAGACGTGTGCGTCGGCGGTGGCAGCCACGTAGCTCTTACCACCCGAGTGCGCCACCACCCCGTACACCCGACGCTGGTGCCAGAGAGGCTGGCCTTCCACGTTGTACAGGACGTAACTCCAGCTCATCTTCGCTGACCGCGTCCTTCAAGGGCCTGCAGCACAGCCGGCGCAGCAGCCCGCCCACGGCAAGCCCTCCAGCCGCCAGGACGCCGCCCACCACGACGCCGAAGAGGAAGATCAGGTACGCGAGGTAGCCCAACCCAGGCTCAGCGCAGCTCGCGGCCTCCTCGCGAGCACCAGCCGCCTCGGCGAAGGCGGCAGCCCCTGCCGGCACCGTGATCGGTCGGCAAGCTGGGCACGCCGGGCACGCCGGCACCACACAATCCCCGCACGTCAGCCCTGGGCAGGACGGACACGTCGCCTGCGGGCAGGCGGGGATGGCAGGGCAGCGTGCCGCGTAGTTCACGACACCCTGGGCCAAATACTCGGGGCCCCTCTGCAGCAGCCAGTCCCACATGCGCAGCCCTCGGGACGGTGGCACGAGCCTATCATCATCACCACCATCATCATCCGCATTGTCCACACCCTCATCAGTTTCCTAATCATCCTCATCATCATCAACATCATCCTCATCATCATCCTCATCATATGCATCGTCATCTTCACCATCACAGACACCATCACCATCACCATCATCATCAGCATCGTCATCATCATCAGCATCATCATCATCATCATCGTCAGCATAAGCAGCATCAGCATCACCAGCAAGATACCAGCATCAGCATCATCAGCAGCATCATCAGCATCGTCAGCCTCATCATTGTCATCGCCAGCATTATCAGCATCATCATCACCATCATCATCGGCATCATCATCATTAGAAGCATCAGCAAAGACATCCTCCTCATCCTTCTTCTCTTCCTCCTCCTCCTCCTCCTCCTCATCATCATCATCATCATCACCACCATCCTCCTCCTCCTCCTCATCACCATCATCATCACCGCCGCCAGCGTCATCATCATGCTCCCTCCCCTCCCTCTCACCTGCCCGCTCATCCTCAATCCTCCCCCTCCTCCCCCTCCTTCCCCTCCTCGCCTTCTCCCCCTCTCCCTCCACCTCCCGCAGCGTCCGTCCTCCCCGTCTCCCCCTCCCTATCCCCCTCTCCCTCCCCCCTGTCCTCCTCCCTCTCTTCCGCCTCCTCCTCCTCCGCCTCCGCCTCCTCCTCCGCCTCCTCCTCCTCCTCCGCCTCCCCTCCCGCTGAGAAACATAAGAACAAAAGCGAGCGAGCCTATCCGTGGCCACGTTGGCGCGGCGTGCCCGCACCTGCGGCGGCAGCAGCGCATAGACGGCCTTCCTCCGCCACGCGTCTGCCCTGCTCCTGCCGGGGCGGGCGGCGCAGCGGCGGGCATGGGCGAGGATCGGATGGGACGAAATGGGGGGAGGGGGGGTGGAGCGGATCGGCTCACGTAGCTGATTTCCGCAGCCCCTCCTGGCGCGGGAGGCACCTGTGCCGAGGAAGGAGCTGAACGACGAAGCCAAAACCATTTGCAAGCAGCAGATGCTGTAATTCCGGCGTATCGCCTCGATGCCTCTGTCGCTGCGACTACGACGGCTTGCGGCTACTGCGATGGCAACACCTATCGACGTGGGCGCTGGTTCTCACGCCGCCTACAAAGACTATAATCAACAACCACCAGCAGTTGGCACGACGGGCGGCTTCCGTCCAGAAATGGATAGGTGCAGCCCAAGAACTACTCCGCATGGTTCTCATGGGGCATCAGGCAGACGTGCGGTACCACCTCTGCCGGCGATCCCTGCACCTGCTCCGCTGCCGGCTGCGTCGGGGCAGGGCCAAGATGCCCTCGCCTTCTGGGGCGCGCTGTCACGAGTGCGTAAACGAATGGGGCGATTCTTGCTTACAAAGTTCACCTGGCTATCATTGGTGCCCAGCAGGAGGGGACCTCAGGGAAGCCTCCCGCTCACCGACGGGATGGGCAAGCAGCTACACGAGCTTCGCCTGATCCTACGATCCACTGAGTGGTCCCTGTTACAGAACAGGACTCGCCGGGAGTGCCCTCTGGCGGCGGGCGTTCCTTTCCCGACGGGTGCCCTGCGGGCCGCCCTAGAAGCACGGCGTTCCCTTCCTGACATGGCCTCACGCATGACCGCGGTACTGTGTGGGTGCGTTGTGTCAGACGCCCTCCTGCAATCACACACAGCAGGGGAGGCATCGAATACTTGCGTCCACTGCGGCGGGCCACACGTGCCCACGCTCGAGCACCACTACTGGGAATGTTCTGCAAATGATGACCTACGCCGGGGCGTCCGTGCGCCGACTGCCGGCCTTACACGCCGGCTGGGTTGGCCCACGACAGAAATCACCAGGAACGAAACAATAACGACTTGGCTACCAATGGTGAACACCATGGCCAATATACGGCAACGGGTATTACACGCTCGCTTTGGCACGTCACATGAGTGGGGGGGCCGTGTGCGAAGGAACACGGCCCTAACTAAACCCGGGGGGAAACCATAACCTCTGTGGGGATCGCAACATAAGTGGGACCACAACCGTCGGGGACACACAATCCTGACGTGACATTGGATTTTCATGTGTTGAAATGCGTTACTTGGGTTTTGCAGGGAGTGGCCGCTCCCAACCAACGGTCGCCGAAATTCTCCCTCGTGGCGCTCTACGGCGAGCGCTTCCGGTTCCACCCCAAGAGCGCGTTTCTTTATGTTCGGCGATGACGGGCGTCATGGGGGGGGGGCGGGGGGGGGTATGACGTGACGCCCCCCCGTCGTGTGGTTCTGGGACCACAGCCGCGCCCGCGCGCACGACGCGACGAGCGACGAGCGACGACGACAACGCGAGCAGCATGTAGGTGGTGATCTGCCCATTGCGCCTGTGTGCACCACAGCGCTCGCGTGCACCACACCGCGCGTGTGCACCACAGCGCCTGCGTAAACCGCAACAGCCATGTGCAACGCACCGCCCGTGTATACCACAATACTTGGGAGCACTACAGCGCCGGTGTACATACACCGCATCAGCCATGCGCAACACAACGCCTGTGTACACCACAGTGCTTGCGTGCACCGCAGCGCCTGTGCACGCCACAGCGCCTGTCTACACCACAGCATCCACGTGCAACGCAGCGCTGGTGTACACCAAAGTGCCTGCGTGCATAGGACAAGTAGAACGAGCATGTACGTCAGGATCTGCTGCGGACAACCAAAAGCCACGCCAGGGAAAGTGCTGATAATCAAATGCAATGGAACGTGTTTCCCACCTCCCTCCTCCTCCACCTCTTCCTCCTCCTCCTCCTCCTTCTTACCCCCTGTCGTGCGGCTTGGCGTTACAGCGCACGTGCGCATCTCAGCGTGCAACGCAGAATGGTCGATTGAATCGGTCCACTTGGTTCTCGGACGGTCAGTTTAGCTGGAGCCTCCT